ATTACACTATGTAACAAGGTTTTTGTCCCTGGGTTGTAATTGTTATTTCCTAGTCAGTTAGGTCCCAAAAGTATAGAAAACAGCTATTGTCGCAAGATAACTTTGCTTTTGTGACCATGGCAGCGCTTATCTGCGTTTATTTTTATGCTTCTTTGTTGAAAACTGATACACGAGCGCATACAACTTGTTTTCTCTACATTTGTGTGTGTTAAAACTAGTGTTGGGCAGTATCGATTCCAAAAGTACTCAGTACTCGATGCTGAAAAGTATCGACACTACCCGATGCTTAAAAGTATCGATACCAAAGTAGTAAATACACAAAAGTACTCGATACTGCCCAACACTAGTTAAAACAACAAAGTCGTCGCAATAAATTTTGCAACATTTTTGTGATTTATTGAGAGTTGTTTCTTATTTTATTACAGATAAATTCGTTCAAACATGGCTTCACGAGGCTGCAAGTATCCTGCAGATGCATTTTGTTATGTACTCTTTGGAAACAGGTTTTAAAATGTGCGAAGCTTACAATGCTTATTTCGGCATGCCTGTGGGTGATCAAGACAAATCCTGGGCACCTCATTTCGCGTGTGAAAACTGCAAAAGGACTTTGGAAGGTAAGACATTTTAAAACTATATTGCTTTGTTATGGGTAAAATAAATGTTTCTATTAACTTTTTTATTAGACAGTACTTTTCTTTTCTAATTTTTCTTTTTCAGGATGGTACAGAGGGGAAAAGAGAGCTATGAAGTTTGCTGTGCCAAGAGTTTGGAGAGAACCCACTGACCATTCAAGCAACTGCTTTTTCTGCATGGTGGACCCTTCCAAACGTCGGACTGGCAAAAAAGCAAGTCAAATCATGTATCCTGACATTCCTTCATCCATGGCTCCAGTTCCACACAGCTCTGACCGCCCCGTTCCTACTCCTCCAGAGAAAGAGCAGGTGTCTTCCTGTGAGAGCCCTGATTCCATGAGTGTGGAAGACAATGAAGGTGAAGGATTTAATTTACTAGCTGATAACAAAAACCCATACTATCCCAACCAAAAGGACATGAATGATTTGATCAGAGATCTTGGTCTAACCAAGTCCGATGCTGAACTTTTGACGTCCAGACTGATGCAGTGGAATTTGCTGGATCCTAGTGTTAAAGTCACATGTCAGAGGAAGCGTCACGAACTTTTTTCCAACTTCTTCATCAGCGAAGATGGGCTCTGCTTCTGCCACGACGTGACCGGTCTGTTCGAGGAAATCGGAATTGATTTCGAACCAAAAGAGTGGCGCCTCTTCATTGACAGCTCATGCAAGAGTCTCAAAGCCGTGTTGCTTCACAATGGCAACAAGTATCCGTCTCTTCCTCTGGCGCATTCAGTATCTCTCAAAGAGAACTACGACAATGTCAAGAAAGTGCTGAACGCATTGAAGTATGAGCAATATGGCTGGGAAGTGATCGGAGATCTCAAAATAGTGACATTCTTAATGGGCCTGCAAGGCGGTTACACCAAGTTTCCTTGATTTCTATGCCTGTGGGACAGCAGAAACGACAGTGCACACTACAGTAAGCGTGAATGGCCACAACGAACTGAATTCACAGTGGGGAGGAACAACGTCAAGTGGGAGCCCTTGGTGGACCCCCAGAAGGTACTGATGCCACCACTCCACATCAAACTGGGTCTTATAAAGCATTCGTCAAAGCTCTCGACAAAAATTCTTCAGCGTTCAAGTACCTACAAGACTTGTTCCCTAAGCTCTCTGAGGCGAAAGTTACAGCCGGTATCTTCGTTGGACCACAAATAAAGAAAATCTTCGAGTCTGAGGAATTCCCCAAGAAGCTCACTCGTGTTGAGAAAGATGCTTGGATGAGTTTTATGTCAGTGGTACAGGGATTCCTAGGCAATCACAAAGCCGCAAACTACGTGGAGCTGGTCGAAAGTCTGGTGGAGAACTACGGCAAAATGGGCTGCAGGATGTCTCTCAAACTCCATATTCTGGATGCACATCTTGACAAATTCAAGGAGAACATGGGAGCATATTCAGAGGAGCAAGGCGAGCGCTTCCATCAGGATATAATGGAATTTGAGCGGCGATACCAAGGACAATACAATGAGAACATGATGGGAGATTACATTTGGGGATTGATTAGAGAAAGTGACTCGCAGTTTAAACGCAAATGTCGAAAAACCACCCGCTTCTGATTTACTTTTATGTTTTTGGTTTTCTGAAGTTTTAATAAAATTTAGTTTTGATTTATATGTGCTGTTCTGTATGATTTTCTCTGTAGTGAAAGACTCAAACACGTTTTTCTCATAATTTTAGCATATTTTAATGAATCACATTGTCCTGGTCACAAAAGCAAAGTTTCCGAGGAATATTAGGTGGTTTCCATACTTTTAAGGCATAACAGACTAGGAAATAACAATTACATCCCAAGGACTGAGAAATTTTTTTTTTTTGTTACTTAGTGTAATCGATATTTTTGTCGATTTTGTTATCGATATTTATCGATCTTGTTATCGATTTTGTTATCGTTATTTACAGATTTTATTATCGATTATTATCGATTTTGTTCTCGATATTTATCGACTTTATTAGCGATGTTTATCGATTTTGTTATCAATTTTGTTGTCGATATTTATCGATTTTGTAATCGATTTTGTTATCGATATTTATCGACTTGGTTAGCGATATTTATCGATTTTGTTATCGATATTTATCGATTTTGTTTTCGATATTTACCGATTTTGGTATCGATATAAATCGATTTTGTTATCGATATTTATCGATTTTGTTATCGATATTTATCGATTTTGTATCGATATTTATAGATTTTGTTATCGATGTTTTTATCGATTTTGTTGTAGATATTTTTATCGATTTTCTAATCGATTTAGCTACCAATGGCATTATCGATGTTGCATTGAAATTTTTATCGAATTTGTCATCGATTTTGTTATCGATATTTTTATGGACGTTATAATCGATTTTGTTATCGATAGAGTATGAAGATAAAAATGAAGACAATGGAAAACAGAATAACATGAATGTTATTAAAAGGAACAGTGGTAGAGGTAGGGATCTACATTGATAGAAAAAAAAAGCGAAAAAATATAACCTTAAGCAAAAGCAGATGTGTGTAT